ATAGCAAAGAAAGCCTGTTGAAGCGTATCTATCAGTTCCGAGCGTAAAGAGCCAATTGGCGTCCCGGAATCTGAGTCATAGGCTTGGGGGTCGGGAACAAAGTCAGTCTTGTCGTCTGGGTCGTAAAGTTTTATGTTATTGATATCGTCTCGTTTGCGAAGGGCTGTGTTACAAATGTGCCAGTCCAAGTCAAAGGGTATGAAGCAATGATGAATGTATTTTCGCGAAAAGGGCTGAGGCCAGCGATGGGGTGATTGTCCGCCAAAATGGCCATCTTCACGGACCACGACTTTCCCATCGTCGATGAATGGAAATTGCGGGACATAATCTGCATTCGGTGAGATTATGATGCAATTGCCGAACTGCATTACGGCACCAACACGCGCATCCAGAGGCCGAAGACCTTCATGGTGGCCTATCAGTAATATCAGTATCTGCATGAATGTTGCTTTGAAGGACATGACTATACTTACTCAGCTCTTTGGCATTGTTCAAGATTCGTTGTGGAATAGAAAAGTCTTGTTCAGTGGGACCTGGAGGCAGAGTAAAAGGGGGAGTAACCGAGGAACCACTCATGGTGCTTGGGGTGCCCAGCATTAGCGTTGAATTTTGGGTTGATGTCTTTTCCGGGAGCAAACAATCTCAAGGCAAGTAAATTTACTGAAAAGCTGAGCGACTAACGCCACTAAGCAAACATTTACTGTAATTCGATGAGGTAAAGCACGAAGCTGCACCTCGCCTAAGACTGTATCGCGGTACCAGAAACGGATGTTGTGATGTCTAAGTCGCTAAGTCTACAATTTGAACTTCGTTGCACTTGTCCCGTGACTCACGTAACGGTTTCCTAAACGGTTCCTCATTTTCCCATATCCCCTATCGTCTCTTATCATCTCCCACCTACACCTCCACCACCTCCACCATCCCGACCCCTCTCTATGAGAAGCGCTAACCTTGCATCGATCCCCCGGTGTTCCATACTCTGGTTTACCTCCTGCCAAATACCACAATTCGGACTCCTGCCCTTTGCAGGCACTGTACGTGAATGTCGTCCGTTATGACTTTATGCGGTGGTAATTTTGAGCTGCAATGGAGCTGTTTAAAATTGTAAGTATCCAACCAAATGCCGCTATTCTTCCTGATTTCCTAATCCCTCTTTACTTGCATAAGCAGATCTTCAACCGGCCATGACAGCCTTGCTTTCATGGCCTGTCCTTCCATCGGCAGCTTCGTGCATCTGATGGATTTGGACTCGACGTTCAATCAATTTTGCCGTCCTTCGTTCGAGTCCTGTTTGTTGTCAGGCGGGACGGCTCAGGTTACTTGTTGCCTGGCCTCGCCGTTGATCAGCCTCAAGCGTCTTGCCACATGTCCTACGTGCACAGCTTCGCAGAGCTCTGATGGTTCATGACCCGACGTACGGCCGGGTGCGCAAAATCAGCATCGTCAATTGTCTTTTTGCGCTAGTCGTGTCGACAGTCATTGTCTGGAAAGGAGTGGAGGATATCTCTTATTTTACATGTCCTACATGCACAGCTTGCAGAGTTCTGATGGTTCATGACCCGGTGTATACTCGCATGTGCAAAAAAAGCATCGTCAAACGTCTTATGAAGCTGGGTTGTGTCGGCGATGTTGGATTTGTTCTAGAAAGGAGTGGGGGAAATCTCGGCAGAATTTAAGACGAACTTTGTGAGTCGTGCAGCTGGCAGACGCGGTCTTTGGCATCATGTAGCGATGGCTTGTAAAAAGATCTTCCATTAGTAATCACCCTATCGTCTTGCACGTAGCTTTGTAATACTATCTGCCGCTTCATTAGCCGAGTTGCATCGATCTGTGTTACGGTCGCGCTGCATTTCGTTTATCTGCCTATGTATCACTGTGAGGGAAGTGGCTGCACGGCAGCTTTTCCTTCAGTTGGCTCCCGGACTAGACACGAACGACGATGCCTGTTTGTTGCGAATTCCACAAAACGACTCAATAACGATGCTCGGACGCGAATGCAGGAAAGAAAACGGGCGAGGATCGAAGTGGGCCGAGCTATGCCAAGGGTAATAGTGCCTGCAGTGAGTAGTTCTAATCTCTGGCTTGAACACGATCCTCAGATATATGAAGGAAATGCCACCCCCTGAGACATATGGTCCGCAGAGGGATGAATTCACCGAATCACTACAGGCATGGGATGCAGAGCCTAGTGAGGAAGAGCGCCCTTCTCCACAGCCAATCCTCTCAGCGGCAGGTCGTCCCGTTCGTCCACGTATTCTCCCAAAGCGCTTCAGACAATTATCACCACCGAGAAATAATTTACGAATCGACCCGGAAGACGAGGATCCGGCGACGGTTGAAGCACTGGATGAAGAAGAGGAATCTCCAGGTCTCAAGTTCGAAATTATACGTACACAGCGTAACAAATTCCGCATCCATAGGGTTATTCGACGGCCTAAAATTCTGTTGGACGACCGTCGGCACAAACATCCTCCTGTAGAAGACCCCAATGTCTATGCACCGCTTCCAAACCGAAGCACTTACCTGCTATTCCATTGGTTTTGGTCCTCATCACATACCAAGTCATTTGCGGACTTGCTTAGACTTCAAGAGATAACACGAGACAGTCAATGGCGGTGGGAGGACTTCGCAAATGCCGATTTACGTCCACTTAATAGAGCGCTAGTCGATGGTACGCTTGACGATGATCGATGGGTGGAAACTTCGGTGCCGCTGTCAGTCCCTATTGGACATCTTCATCCTGATGTTCCCGGGGCGGTGACGTATGAAGTAAAAGGTCTGCATTACCGCCCATTGACAAGCGTTATACAATCGGTATTCCGCAGTTCCCAGTTAAGCGAAGGCTTTTGCTATGAGCCGTATGAGCTTCGGTATACTCCGTTGAGTGCTGATGAAGATATTGCGGTACACGGGGAGCTATTTTGGTCGTCATCGTTCCGGAACGCGCATGATGAGGTGCAGCGTGTACCCCAGGCTGATGGTGATTCAATTCCTCACGCGGTGGCTGCAATGCAACTGTGGTCGGATAGTATGTCGGCGACGAAGTTTGGGAGTGCTAAGTTATGGCCCATCTACCTGCAGTTCGGAAATCAATCAAAATATAGAAGGTCATGCGCTAGATCTGGCGCAATCCATTCGATCGCATTCATTCCCTCGGTATGTACACTAAACACTAACATCGCTCCACTGAGTTACTGATGAGACTTGGTATATAGTTACCTAGTGATTTCAAGGAATTCGTGGAGCGTCATGCAAGGGGAAAAAAAACATCAGCAGAACTCGAACTGCATTGTCGACGCGAAATCATGCAAGCCGTGTGGCTTACCTTACTGGACGATGAATTTATTAATGCCTGGAAAACCGGAATTGTTGTTTTGTGCGGTGATGGTGTCCTGCGTCGATTGTTTCCTCGAATATTGACGTATTCGGCGGATTATCCTGAGAAGTAGGTAATATCCTACTGCGCTGTTGGTCTGTTTTCATCTTGTTTCAGGGTTCTTTTGGCTACAATGAAATTTTTGGGTAGTTTCCCTTGTCCTCGTTGTCTTATCCCAGCTAGTAAGATATTGTCGTCGCTGGGAAAGCCAAGGGATATGCGGTATCGCATCAAATACCGGCGGACCGATAATCCTGACCGGCAGTACAGAGTCAATAAAGCAAGAGAGCTAATTTATACGAGCCGGAAGCGGCTGACACACCCGAGAGTGAAGCTCCATTTAGACCCTCATTCGTTGACTCCAGTTGAGGTCAGTTCAGCTATTCTTTTTATGGGCATTCGTTGAGACTTGGATTTCTGTGTAGAATGCATTCTCGAAACGTCTGGGACCTCTAGGCTTTGATTTCCATGATATACTGGTAGTGGACATCTTACACGAATGGGAGGTAGGAGTTTGGAAGACAATTTTCACTCATCTGGTACGGATTATCAATACCTTCAAGGACCGAGATCGCCTTAATGAATTGAATAAACGGTGAGGTTAACTTGTTATTCGGGCTTATCTCTTAATTTATCGTTTTGTTGAAAAGCGTTCGTGAAGTGCCGGCTTTTGGCTCTGATATAAGAAGTTATAAGGGAAACATTTCTGACATGAAGCAGATGACAGGCTATAACTTCGAGGACCTTCTACAGGTATGAATTAATTGGTATGAGAGCTGCAACTATTCACTAACGTCGTCCTCAGTGTGCCCTGCCGGTTTTCGATGGTCTGTTCCCGCAGCCGCATGAAACGATCATCCGTATTTTGATATATCGGACTGTGAATTTGCACGCACTGTGTAAGCTACGTCTTCATACGGATGATACTATAGCGGCTTTACACTCTGAAACGCGGCGATTTGGTGATGCACTACGAAAATTCGCCAGCGATACTTGCCCTGTATTTGCCACCACGGAACTAGCCGCCGAGACGCGCAGGCGCGTGTCTCGCATGGCAAAGAAGCGTGGTGGAAATGATACTCAGCAAACAAGAACGTCCGGCTCTGACGGGATAAATGCAAACGTGAAGAAGGCCTTTAATGCCAACACATCTAAAGTTCATGCGGTGGGGCATTACGCAAAGCAAATAGTGGAATATGGGACCACTGATTCCTATAGCACAAATATTGTAAGTATTCATTCAATTTCTTGCACTGTAATCAATACAAACGCAGGCTTGATGCAGGGCGAGTCTGAGCACAAGATGACCAAGGACAGCTATGCTAGAACAAATGGAGTCAATCCCGAGCAACAAATTACACGGATTAACCAACGCCAAGCAAACCTCGCTCGCATTTCGGGGCGAACAATGAATGAAAACGACCATCCTGGAGTAGAAGAGGAGGAGGAGGAGGACGTAGAGTTGGCCCCCGGTGACGTCAGATATTCTATCGGGCAGAGAGGAATTCCAATTAACCTTCCTCAGTAGGAACTTGAGTACCGATTTGATGCAGCAATACAGGTACGCCACTTGCATATTCTCTGCTTTCTTTTATACTAAACGCTTTACTAGGGCTTTAGGCAGAGCCTATCCCAACATTTACTGGCCCGATTGAAAGGGATGGATGCCTCAGACGATGAACTTGTCTTTACGCAACACGAACACATGCAGATTGTTATCTTGGACAACAAAATGTATAGTCACAAGTGACTTGCCATAAATTATACCTCATACGACATGCAACGCCAGCACGAATCGATTAGCCCAACAGGAGCCAAATCTGATATTATGGTTCGAGCAAGCGGAGGTACGGATCGAGAATCAATGTACTGGTATGCACGGGTCATTGGCATCTTCCACTTTGATGTTTATCTCCGTGGAGCGGAAGGATCGTCTCCGAAACGTGTGGACATAATCTGGGTTCGATGGTTTGGTAGGACGGTAGAGGGCAGATTCAGAGACAATGCTTGTAACCTCGAACGAGTCAGGTTCGTCACGCAGGAGGATGGTTCTCCCCCGTTTGGCTTTTTAGATCCCACCACAATTGTGCGCGCTGTGCATATCATTCCTGCATTCTGTTATGGCCAGACTAGAGAGCTCCTTGGAGCATCTCGTCTTGCTCGTGTTAAAGAACCCGGTGCTGTTGAGGACTGGGAATCCTTCTACATTAATAAGTGTGATTACTTAGGAATTGATGGAGGCAAAGGCTTCACTCAGCTTCAGGTTTGCTGATAGGGATTTGTACATGTTATTTCGAGGCAACAGCATAGGTCACAGTGGCTATTTCAGTAATACTGGATCATCTGCACAAGTAGACCTATATGCAAAGTTAGGTGTTGTCAGCAACAGCATAGAGGGGACCCGAAGGCTCAGTGAGGGGACCCAGGTTACAACTATCCTACACAACAGAAATACAGAATGTGAGCACTGGAACATAGTCAGAACTTGCAGAATGGGCAGAGAGAGAGAGTAAGACAAGAGTAGAGTATATAGAGTGAGCCTAAGAGTACAGGACTACCTAGAGTAGACAAGATCAAGACTACAGGACTAGTCTGATCTTGTACACCTATATATACTAAACTATACAAGAGTACTCAGGGAGTATGAGCTACTAAGAATGATAAGCCACAAAGAATGAAAGAAAGGAATGTCAAAGATAAAGGTACAAAGAATGAAGGGATGGACAAAGGGTAAGAGACTATAGAATGAACAGAGAATGAAGGAGTGGTCAAAGGAATGGAATGATAAAGTAAGGAAGGGTAGTAGTAAGAGTCAGTATGTATATAGTCTATAGACAGTGCTCCTGAGAGACAGAAGTCCTAAGTTCTAGTACAGAAGAGTGTAGAACCCTCAGAACTAAAGGTAAGAGAGTAGAGGATTGTAACATCACCCTCCCTCTAAAACTAATCATTCTGATTAGTAAACATTAGGCTTGGTTAGTAGCTTGAGTATAGGTTGGAATAGTAGGGTTTAGAAATCTGTAAAGTAGAGTTAATGTAGAGTACTCAAATGAAGTTGATAGAAGTCTCAGATTACTTTAGTAGTATAGGTGAGATTCTCAGCAGGTTCCTAAGTGTGTTCTTCAACTAAGTATCCCTTCTAGTAGATAAGAAACTTGAGCTTTCTATATACTAGCTTAGCATCTACTACATACTCTACTTTGTATTCTAGTTCAGAGCTGATGAGTTCTAGTAGAGGTAGAGGGAGTCTTTGTTGTGAAGGAAAATTAGGATTATAGTACTAAGATAACAGAACCTTATTGAACACTGAGTGTATGTACTTCCATGTTGTTAGAAGTTAGAGTTTGTAGGTAGAGGCACTAACCTTCTTTTTAATGACAAAGAGTCTAAAGTACTTGTTGTCCAACTTCTTTATTAAGTAGTTTATAGTCAGGTTAGTAGCTTCTAGCATAACTTTGTTACTAGACTGGTAATCCTTGGCTACAGACCTCTTCTAATTATAGTTCCACTTTATGATCTGTACTACCTTTTCCAAAAGAGCTCATACATCCTCCCTAGTTCTATGTATCTGTTTTACAAAGTCTATTACAGATTCAGAACTACTATTCTGGTTTGAAACTGTCCCCTAGTATGAATGTCTCTTATGATTGAGGAAGAACAGGGACTGTCCTATTATAGAGTGTTACTAGTTATTGTGCACAAATTCTGTCAGAGCTAACTATTCAGACTAATCTGATTACTAATGATTGATAAACATTTAGAGGTAGAGCTTGATCTCCTGATTAACTTGCTCAGTTTGACTGTCAGTCTGTAAGTAATAGGTAGTAGAAGGGTTCCCTCAAATTCTGAGAAGTATATACAAGTCCTACATGAATTTCAACTTGAATTATAGTCTACAATCATGAATGAGCTTCTAAGGGAGTCTGTACAACTAGAAGACATGATCCTAATAAATGTGTGTTATACCTTCAGAAGTGAGTTCTGTTTAGGTTGGAACTGTGTGGACTTGCTTAGAGAATCAGTCAACAATTACACAGATAGTATTGTAACCCTAAGACTTAAGTAGCTTACTAATCAGGTCTACTGAGACTTCTTCCCAAGAGTGATTTAGGATCTAATACAAATGTAGAGGAGTCTGAACCCTTGTCTAGTAGGCCTTAGTCTGTTAGTATGTATTATAACCAGTCACATACTTTAGGATTTCCCTCTACATTCTAGACTACTAGTAGTTCTGAGTAATGAGTTCCTGTGTTTTGTGTCAGCCTAAATGTCCTGTGGTCAGATTGTTGTAATAAGCTCAGACAATGTCCTCCTACAGCTTCTAATCCTTTAGAACATACAGTCAGCCTTCCTAGTAAACCTGTCCATTCTCATCCTCCTCCTAATCTCTTACTTACTTCTCTAACTACTTTACTATAACCTAGTTCTGTGTGTGTCTTAGAGCTTACTGTATGTGAGTGACAAAGTCAACATTCTTAGATTTGAGTCAGATCTCTTAGATTGTCTCAGACACAAAACAGGAATTGTCTAGGAGAACAAGATTTTTGTTATTATTCTCCCTCCTTTTATAACCTGCTTGTCTTGAGAGTAAATCAGTTTTTGTCATTTGTGTTCTAGGTTTGTAGGTCAGTACAAAGTCATAGTCCTACAGTTCTAACATTTAGCAGGCCTAACAGTAGTTGAGCTTCTGAGGCACCTGGAAGTACTAGAGATTAAGGTGATTACTCTAGATCTTAAACTTCTATACTATACTGAGGAGATATTAACACTACTCCTCTAGGGAACAGACAATTGTAAGGAGTTCCTTGTTATAGATAGAGTAGTTCCATTCTGTTACAGAGAGGGATTCTGATTAGAACACTATTAGACACTACTTTCCATTAATGAACTAGAACAGTACTACTCTATTTACAAAGTTGGAAGAGTTAGCTTTAACTCAGAACTTGTTTACAACTGTTAGAACTGTTAGTACAGGCTTACTAGTAATAGCCTGCTTTAGGGACTCAAATGCAGACTACTACTAATCCTCCTATTACTAAGGAACATCTTTGCTAGTGAGATTGTATAAGGGCCAGGCAATAGTACTAAAGCCTCAAATGAAGCATTAGTAGTAGTTCACAAACTTAAGGAATACTTAGACTTGTTTCAAGTTCTAAGGTTGTAACCAGTTCCAAACTACAGTTACCTTTGCTAGATCTATACAGACCTCTCCTCTACTAATCACAAAGTCTAGATAATCTACTGACTCCTACACAAAAGAGTACTTTGCTTCTTAGAGGAACAGTTTATTATCTTAGAGCTATTATAGAACTACTCAGATTAGTTAGTAATAGTGCTCAACTGTCTGAGTGAAGATTAGAATGTTATCCAGATACACACTAACATGCTCTAAGTCAATCAGATCCACAAGAATGTGATTCATGAATAACTAGAATGTTGTAAGCAAGTTAGTTAGTCTGAAGAACATTATAGTCAGTTTGTACAATCTACAATTGGTTTAGAATACAGTCTTCTACTCATCTCTGTCTCAGATCCAAATATTATTGTATCCTTATTAAACATTCAACTTAGTGAAAACCCTGAATGTATGTGTCTTATCAATAAGCTCCTGAATCAGAGGGAGCAGGTACTTGTTTTTGACAGTACCCTCATTAAGACAACAATAATCCTAGACTAGGTAGAGCTTCCTATCTTTCTTTTTGACAAAGAAGAAAGAGGAGACTATAGAGGACTTTAAGGGTTGGATCTAGCTGTTCTGAAGATTTTCTCAAAGGAACTTGTTAAGCACCTCCTACTTGTCTCTGTTAAGCAGGTAGACCTTACAATCCTTAGGTTAGAAACTCTCAGTCAATTTAATTGTATAGTCCTAGGAACAGTGTTCAGGAAGCTGGTCAAATTCCTCTTCACTAAAGACTTTAGAGAATTCTTAGACAAAATCCAGCAGACTGAGTCTATGTGTGTTCTAGAGTAGAGTTGTTCTGAGAGGGTTCTAGACTGGTTCTGTCTCAGACATTCTTCAGATTGACTCTGTTCCACCTTAACTAGAATATGTATCCACATATCTATCCTAGTCAAAGAAGAACAACTAGTCACCTTCATCAGAACTGTTAGTAATATTAGAAGCATCTGTATCCACTTAGAACAGTAGTGTAAGGTAACTGTAAGACTCAGAATACTAATTGAATGTAAGTGTCTGCTCTAACTAGTCAATAGTAAGGTTGTAAGCCTTGAGCCATTCAAATCTGATAAAGATGTCTGTCTTTCTAAGGTTAGTGACTCTGAACTCAATGCTTTCCTTATAATCCTGAATAGTCATCTGTAGTTGGACAAACTCAGTAATCTGACCATTCTAGTTTAGAGTTCTGTCTACATTGTATACTAGGATCAGAAGTGGAACACATTAAGTAGGGAGGTAGTGTTTCTACACAAAAGCCTTATTAATACACAAACTAGTACATTTACTGTCTACCAGAACTATTGTTTGGATCTGGGGGGATCCTGAGAAGGGAGCCAAGAGGATAGGGACTTAGAGCTAGTACCTGGAACATTCTTAGATAAACTGCTACTTGTTCTAAAGGGAATGTACAGCTTGTACAGCCTTGTTGTCTGAGAGGGTAAGTATATACACTAACATTTCCTTATTAACCTCTCTCTTTCAACAAGGACAGACTCATGTTCTCAGCTGTGAACTTAGCTGAGACTATCCCTACTTAATACTACAGACAAACTACTGAGTAGTGAACAGGGCTGGGTAGTGTTCTGAACATTCTGAGATCTTAGAATACAGAAGTAGTAGGTTGGATTGTACAGATTTAGACTCAGATAAAGTACAAAGAGAAGAATCAAAAGAATCAGGAGAAATAGGAGAACTATCTACTTTTGTTTTCAACTTTTTTCTTTCTAATAAATAATTTTGTTAGATTTATTTTTTCTACTTTTTCTGCTTTTTCTACTTTATTTACTTTTAATCCTACAGTGTCCATTAAATCAAAAGTGGCTATTAAAAAATCTGAGTTATAGCCCTTCAGTG